CAGTATGTATTCGAGCCGACTTTGCATGGTCCATTTGGTTTGCATGGCAGCGGAACGATTTGGATAGACTTTTGTGAGAAAATGATATATATGATTTATTAATATATTATAAGTTCTAATATATTAATATGAAATCATATTATTTAATTAGTATTGATCAAGAATTAATTTGCAACTAATTCTGTGATCAAAAGACACTAATTAAATATATGGGGATTGATTGTGTAAATCATCCATTCATATATATATGGGCTTATAATCCATAGTTCTTCATGTTGGGCTAAACCCATGGAGTAACCCATGGATACTCCATGGAGGTTTTAACCCATGGAGCATGAAGAATATGGAAAGACATGAGTTACATGGTGTAACCCTAATAGCCACAATATATAAAGACCCCATAGCTCAAGAAATCGGCCCTAAGGGTTTATAAGAGAGGGCTAGCCGATTTGAGCATAATGACTTTTCTCTCAAGTTATTCCAAGTTGTTGTTGGTGTTGTGTGAACCATTTGAGGTGTCACACTTGGGGCACTCATCTCTCTTAAGCTCCATGGAATCAAGCTACTACACAAAAGGTATGTTACTCTAACTAGTATCTCATTTGGTATATGAAGTTGCATGCTAGTTATAGGTTTAATGCCTTGGAAACCATTTGCATGTATAATTAGTGAAAACATAGATTCAAGGTATGTAGGGTTGTATGTGCACCATAGGATGTTGTATTATACTAAAACCCAACACATTTCAACTCAAAATGAATGTTGAATGCCAAAGCACTCAGTTCACAACCAAGCCTAACAATCGTTCTTGCCCTATTCCATCGTGTCAATGGTTCCCATGATGTCAGTTCACGGAAATATGCACTCGCGCTTCCGGGCGAGTAGGGGATGTCAACCCCAAATAACGCTATCCATAAGACCGTCGGCTTGAAAAACAAGTTAATACGTTGTAGTTCGGTTCTCGGGGACTTAATATACAAAGTTCATAATAAGTTCATATCATAAAGTTCATATCAAGAGTTCATAATATAAATTTCATAGCATAAAATTCATAACAAAAAGTTCATAAAAGTGTATCGTTCCAAGTTCATCAAGTTCATAAAACAATATCGTTCCAGGTTCATTAAGTTCATAAAACAAGGCTCAACAAGTTCACAAATAAGAGTTCAGCAAGTTCATAAAACAAAGTTCCACAACTTCATAAAATAGTACGGATAGCTCATAAAACATTAACATGATTTCCACCCAAAAACATGAAAACAGTAAAAAAGGGGTTGTGAATAATCACTAGAGAGAGTTTGCGGTTCTAGCTTCGTAGTTCAGTGTTGTACATATTGATTTCTACTAGTTACCTACGGAAAATATAGTTTCTAGTGAGATACAATTTACTAAGCCATTATCTAAGAACTATCTATCCTACTAGTGGTGTCGTAAAGTGTCCAAAGTTTGTCAGGTTCATTATTGGTAATACTGAATTCACTGCGCCTTGTGTTCAAAAATCCATAAAAGAATAAAAATGAACTCTAAAAATTGTACAACATCATATTCCTATTCTAACAGAGGGTATTAGTGTCCAGAAATTTTATAAAATTTTTTGAAGGTCATTTGTTATTTATTTGTAATTTAAGTCTAAATAATAGTAAAAACTCATAATAAATAGCAAACAGTTGCAAAAGTTGCTAAATTAATTTCTACAGGTTCTCACAATGTTCCCAAACCTGGGAAAAATATTAGTTTGTTCTCATGAGTCCTAAGACCCGGTTTTGTAAATTCATGTCCTAATTAAATGAAAAATCCGAATAAAATACGAAACTGTGACCAAATTGTATGAAATTTTAGGTGCTATCCTTATTATGTACATAAACAAGTTCCAGAATTTTTCGAATTTTATCTCATTTGTAAGAATTTACTTTGAAATTTTGGCCATTAAATCCTTATTTTTGTACAAAAATAAAGATTTTGTTATAGCACTTGGGTTTCACAGAACATCTACTAATAAAGCGCGGTTTCATAAAAAAATTGGTTTAGAAATAATTCGGAGTTAATGTGGGTATTCAACCCCAACAAGTTTAGAAATGTAGCATTAACTAGTGCATGAGTTCCAATTGTAGTTGGAAGTTCAACAATTTTTGTAGAAACTTATATAACGTTTTTGTTCATGAAATTTTAGATCTTCTAAGAAAAATGTGTTAAGTCACAGAAAAGGGCGGTTTGAGCAATTGTTTTGTAAAAATCGTCCAAAATCGAATATTTATGTTTTACAGCGAGACCAGTTGGGTTCGAAAGTTACCTCATAGAAATACTTCTTAGAAAAATAATATCATAATTTGGTTGAGTAATGAGTGAGATATGGCTGTTCAAAGTCGAATAAATAATTCTGGCAGAATGCATGTTACCTTTGGTTTGATTGAAGTGCCCATTCGGGTCATATGTTCACAAGAACAACATGCATACTCTTTTTGGTAGAAAATGAAGGATAACATACTGTAGTTTACAGAGGAACAAGAAACTTTGGTGTGCATTGATCCAAATCATAGATCTAGGTTTATCTAAGGCCTCAAAGTGGGTGTTTCATTCTTGTGATAGAAAACTCCTTGGAACCACCGAATCTTATACTAGGATGGGACCACAAATCCGATTTCTAGCACATCCATGGAGTGAATTAGCATCCAAGATGTACTAGAAACGGTTTAAATGGTTTTTTTTATGTAATAACACAAAAGAAATGAAAAACAAGATGTAAAACTCGATTTTTCAAATCATATGAACATATGTGCATCTTTTCAGTTTTAGCATGGGTTTGATCCCGGGTTTTCACCATCTCAAACACATATAATGTGTTATGGTGAGAATCTACAAACACTAAGAGGAAAAACATGGATTTATTGCAATTGAAGGGCATAGAACCCGAAAATTAAAGAAGAACTACGAAAAAGATGAAGTAAAATCGTAAAATCATATGGATATCTTATGTTTCTCACCTTGATTCTGATTTTTGGTGAAGCAAGAACTCCTAAAGGCCTTCAAGAAACCGAAAATATAGAAGAATATGGATGATTTTTCAGATGTTTAAGAGAGTTTCGGGATGGGATAGGTTCCTTGGAGAATGAGATAGAAGTTGGGTGATTTTAGAGAGAAGAAGGAGAGATAGTGAGGTTCTATCTCTCTGATAGACGATCTCTCTCGTTGACACACAAAATCTCTCATACATAATATCTCTCTAAGATCAGTTTTTATCTATCATTTAACACCTGTTTAAGGTATTATTTAATTTATCTAAGTTTTAAGGTTTTGTGCATGGACTCGGCGAGTTGGGGAGCTCCAACTCGCCGAGTAGAAGTTATTATGAGGACGCGGATTTTCAATCCTACTCGACGAGTCAAAAGGCCCCGACTCGATGAGTAGGCGTTGTAAAGGAAAACCCTAATTTTTAGGGTTTGCACCCTATTTAAAGAACATAATCCACCTCGTGTGGCCTCCCTTACCACCTTATTAGCCAGAGAAAACCCTAGTTGGACCTTGCACCTTCTTGAGTGAGAGAGAGAGCTTTTGTGAGAAATTTTAGTGTGTTTGTGAAGGGTTTTAGAGCTTGAATAAGAAGGAGCAAAGAAAGAAGCAGTAGATCCGACATCTACTCTGTATTGGCCACCATCTTGAGGTATAAAGTCGTTACCTTGATCTCTAGTTGCTTAGATCCCTTTTCTTGGAAGTAAATGGCCATTTTTTGTGAAAAATGGAGTCATACTTAGATCTGGACTTATCACAAGGATATGGTTCCAGATCTGCACCTCTCTAGGTCCCCAATGACATAAAGTTGGTCACTTTATCCAGCTTAGACCCTTTCCATGCTGAAAAACCTTGTAGGCAGCTTAGTTATGATGTTTTAGCCTTGTGAGGCCTTGCATGCACGTAAAGTTTGCAACTTTACGTGGTAGCTTCACTAGGAAAAGGTGGATCTAAAGTTTGGGACCTTTGATCCCACTAAAAAGGGCTGAACACAAAAGGGACTGAAGGAACTCGTCGAGTCCCTTAGTTGACTCGACGAGTCGGGTAGGGTTTACCCGTTTTCGAGATTCGGAATGAGTGCAGTGAAGGATTAGGGTTTTGAGATTGCATGAACTTTTAGTTTTCTAGACATTTGATGAACTCGATGAGTCACTTTGGTGACTCGGCGAGTTGACATAGGATTCAGTGGAATGGACTCGGGAGGAACTCGACGAGTTGACCTTGACCAGGGTTGACTTTGAGGATATTTATGGGTTTATGACAAGTTAATGACATGTTAATTATAGGCAGTTGAGGAGGAGCAGTGCGTGCACTACAAAAAATATGTCATTGTGTGCCACTAAAAGCCCCAAAAAATGCCAGTAAAGGCTTCTCAAAGAATTTGCGGTACACTTAATAAATGCCACTAGAAACGCTCCCACTAAAACCTTTTAGTGGCACTTTTTATTTTTGCTGCTGCAGTTTTTAGGCTTTCAGTGGCACTTTTTTATTTGTCACAGTAAAACAAATTTCTTTTGTGGCACATATTTTGTGCCACTAAATCTGATTTGATTTAATAATTTATGTTACTTTTAGTTACACATTTTAAGATTTTAGTGAAACTTTTTTATTTACCACAATAATAAATAGTGGCATTTTTTATGTGTCACAGCAGAAGAAAATTTTTTGTGGCATATATTTTGTGCCATTAAAAGCTCATGCGGTTTAAAAAATTCATGCTACTTTTAGTTACATATTTTAAGATTTTAGTGACAATTTTATTTTCCACAATACAATTTCATTTATAAAATAAAATCAAATCAATAATTAAATTGTAGCACATTGAAAATAATCAATATTTCATTGTTTTTCATCAATATTTTTTTGAACTTTTTGAATCGAATATCTAGGTAAATATCAAATATGTCTAAGTACATGTTAAACATAAAGTAATGAACAAAAGTTAAAACATGCATATAAAAATAAAACAAAATAAAAAAACAAAGACATGATAGGTTGAATAAATTGTGTTATCTCATACTCTAGAATCAATGCTAGCAATTCCATGTCAAAAAACAAACAAAGTAAATCCAGAATCCAGTGAAATAAGGCTTAGTTTAGAAAATAAATAATATAACACTCAACACAAATAAACTATATTTATAAGAACAAAGGAAAGACAAAAGCTCATAAAAATGATTACCATAATTATGATGACTTTCAGAAGATGCTCTCTAGTTAACTGAATTAGAGTTGCGTGGAACTTTAGAAGTGCTGCCTGGCATCTGAAACAAATTAATGAAAACATATAACATTAATGTCTAACTCTAGATATCTTCTACTAGTCTTGTACAAATGAAATGGAGAATGCGTTTAAGAAGATGCATATGTACACCAAGAAGATTATTTAGAAGGGCAAAAGTGGTCATTCTTGAGTCCAATTGGAAATATGATAATGGACTAATTTTAATGAATGTTTTTTTTCTGTTCATAGGGTAACTGAAAAGGAACAATGCAATTATAGATGACATATGTACCTGTATGTTCATATTGCTAAGAATTCCAGACAAGTTTGCATTTGGGATTTGTTCTTGGATGATATTTGCCATAACGTTCACCATAATTTTTAGTTGTTCGACACTCGGATCATTAGAACAAGAAACAACCTTCTCTTTTACAGTAGGCATCCTTCCAACACATATGATATACCCTCTTTTTTCAGGACCTTTAACTTTAGAGTAGTCATCATTTGAAAAATCATCTATAGATCCTAGGGTACTTGATCCATGGGTATTTGAGGAATCGCTTGCAATGGCTTGTAAGGAAGTCTTCATAATAGCAACATACAAAAAACATGACAAGTGTTTCTCACCAACTGTTTTTGTCCCACTTTCAAGTTAATAGCAACATACTTTAAAAGTGGTTGCTATACTATCATAGTATAACAACCTACTATAAAAGTATGTTTCTAATACTTTGAAAGTGGGAGAAATTACAAGGTTTAAAACGAAACAAAGAGTATATGACTTGATATGATTAATAACATGTATATATAATGTCTAGTGAAATTATTAACATAACTTGAGCGACTTTTTCATTCACGATATTTCCATTTTTACGAGTGCGGGTTTTACATATATTTGTACTCGTGTTGGGTATACACCATTCTTCAATGCCTATAACAAGATCTAGTTATGTTTGATGAAAAATAAATAATTTAAAAAAAAAGACGATAATATAAGTCAAAATAATAAAATATAATAATACCTCTTCGTGAGCAAGTCAAGCAAATGATTTTATCCAAGAAACATGGGGCTCTTCCATCTTTGCACGAATCTTTCTCCTCAAATCACACATGCTCTACATAATTATTTTCCATAAATTTACTTTATCTTTTACCCATAATAGCAATGTACTTTCTATTTTTTAGTGTAAAATTGTTTTAACTAAAAGGTAAAAGTAGGGATTCAATGAATAAAAAGCATGCTAGGCCATTAAGGGTAACTAACTTTTTATTATTTTCCACAAATTTAAATTATCTTTTACCCACAATAGCAATGTACTTTCTATTTTTAGTGTAAAATTGTTTTAACTAAAAGGTGAAAGTATGGATTCAATGAAATAAAAGCATGTTAGGCCATTAAGGGTAACTAATGAGTAATAGGATAAATTCCTTAGTTTATGTAAGAAACTAAATATATTACCTGATATTTTTGAGTAAACCAATGAGTAACAAGTTTTTTAAACTGAGTTGGGTTCACCCTGTTATCTTTCTCAGTTTGTTGTGCCACAATTTGATCGATTGTAAGACTTGAATCATATGCACGTGCTTTTAGTGAATCTTTCCAAGTCCTCCATTTTTCCCCATGCTGAAACAGATCCATTTCTTGATTTCACTTGTTTCAGCCGGATGAATAACAAACTTGGCCTACAAATAAAGCTTACATGTAAATATAAATACACCATAATTTTGGTTAACAGATACGCACCTTAACCATAGAATACATATCTTCTTTCTTCTGTATAGGGATCTTCCTCCAATCATCATAATCTATTCTGACATGATTAGCCATCCTCATAAGGGTCCCAAGTTATTGTACGAGTTCATTTCCTTCATCTCCTACCGGTTTTCCGAACCTATTAAATGTCACTACTATTTTTTGGGAGCTAGTCATGCTCCATGTCTCGGTCTTTTGAGTATAACCCCTTACCTTCTTTTGAGCACCTAATAAAAAAATTAGTGAAATTAACCAAAATTAGCAATAAAGTGATAATATGATAGTTTTCATCAATTAATTAGTAAATAGATATGTGTTTCTTTTTTACTCAAAATTGAAAGATCTCTTTCTGTTACAACTTGGAAGCCTTTATAATGAGGCGAGAAATTTCTTCCAAAGAAAACATCTAACCCTTTCTTTGAAAAAAAGCTTAAAAGACTAGGGAGAGATGAATAATTCACAAACTTTAAAGAACTATTAATTGAATTTAAGCTTACATATTTCAGATGATGTAAATAAAGAGATAGTTAGATAAAGGAAGTGGACATTTGATCTAGTGGTAGATAAAGGAAGTTGGCATTTTTCATCAACACAATCAAAACATTTGATCTACTAGAAACATATCTACCTGCTCAAAATGGATAGCATATACCACAAAATAGATATGAAAATATGGAATAATAATATCAATCAACAGAGTAAGGGTCGTTTACACAGAAAGGTAACTGCTATAAATTGAAATTGTAAATGACAAAAGTAAAAAGAACATGAAATACTTGAAAAAATATATGTAACATATCTCATTGACCTCCTTCAGTAGAGCTGTGTTCTTCAGCAGTAGACTGGCCTCCTTCAGTAGTTTGTGCATGACCTGATTGATCTCCTTCAGTAGGGATATCAGTTGCAGAAAACTCAGAACTTTGATCATGTATCTCACTGTCAATAGGGATATCAGTTGAGGTGATGCATAGCCTCTTACGCCTACCCATCCTCCTATAACACCACAACAGATAAGTACATGCATACAAATATATACATAAAATGCATAGATACATGCATATAAATATACACATAAAGATAAAGTGCATCAATTTTTCATTAACTATCATCAAATACTAATCTAGTCACTGTTATTTTCTTCATCATCTATGACATCTATGTTTTCATTAGCTATTATCATTTCTGGTGTAACATCTATGCTATCATCGCCAACCCTATGCAAGTTAGGTACATCAAATATATCATCATAAGCACCTCCCATGTCAAATACATCTCTAAGCTTTACATGTCGCACAATCTCCCAACCTATATGTTTAGGATCCATGGAGTAGAACACCTTGTTGACTTGTGATGCCAAAACAAAGGGATCATTAATCAAGTTAACACCGGTATGTGTCTTATATGAGAAGTTGATCAATGTTACATTGCCATCTTTCTTGCAACCTCTGTTGATGTCAACCCACTCACATTTGAATAAAACTACTCGTATCATTCCAGAGTAGTTTAATTCTATAATGTCAGTTAATTTTACATAGTAGTTATTCACGCCTTCGACTGGCCTTCTGTATCGACTACTGGAATAATTTGCACCTTCTACCATAACAGCCACACCACTATTTTGAGTTCGTAGAAGTTCCTCTCGTTTTCTTGTGTGAAATCGATAACCTTTAACTTAACTAGGTATCCTGAGTATTTTTGCACAACTCTAAGTGGACCACGTGCAAGCCATTTTATTTCTTCAGTTACTTTTTGATCTCCTTGCTCTTCCATGTGTGCGACCTATCAACATAATTATACAATTACATCTTGAAAATCAAACTTTGATACATCCAATATTTATTCCAAATTACCCTTCTCTTAAACCAATCACTAAATTGTTGGCAGTGAATCTTGTTGATTTCATAATCATGTATCTGCCGAGATCGATTTTGTCTCTTTATTATCCTTTTGTGTTCCCTTCAGATAAAGAACAAAAATATGAGGTAAATGAAGAATAATATGTAAACGCATAGGAAAACTTGTTTATCTTACTCTTGGAATGGTGAAACTGATTCGACATTAAATAGGACATAACGATGTGCTTCTGTGAGTGACTTCTCGTCCAAGATGAAATTTGAAGATCTCTTTCTGTTCTGAAGTGATACCCTAGAATTCTTTTTACGTCCCAATGGGCGACCTGGACAAAGATTGTTAGATTCTTCAATCTCATTTTGGTCACCTTCATCATCATTCCTAATTGGTCTAGTAAATATGGTTTATACTACCGAGAGATATCAAGAGCAAAATGTTACACTTTCTTGAGCTAAATAGCCTTCAGCAATTGAACCTTCAGGATGAGCTATATTATAAACGTAGGAATTAAGTGGTAGAAGGTACCTATGATTACAATTACAAAAAACTGATCATCTATATAATAATTGAAGATAATAGGAAAAATTAACAGAAACATTGTTTACCTCTCTATAGGGTACATCCATCGAAAAGCAACTGGACCTCCTAACTTAACCTCTCTAACTAAGTGGATCACCAAGTGCACCATTACAGTAAAGAATGAAGGAGGAAAAATCTTTTCCAATTTGCATAAAGTGAGGGAAACTTTCGATTCGAGATATTGGAGATCAACTTCGGTTAAGTCTTTGTAGCAAATGATCCTAAAAAAATCGCTCAACTCTATTATAGTGGAGCTTACATGGTCTAACAAAGTACCTCGTAATTCAATGGGCAAGTATTCTTGCATCAACATATAGTGATCATAACTTTTCATCCCAACTAGTTTCTTTTTATTCAATTGCACACATCGAGAGATATTGGATGAAAATTCATCAGGAGGCTTAATTAGCTTTAATATTTTTAAGAACAATCCCTTCTCATCCCGATTCATTTGATAACATGGCCTTGGCATGAAAGTAGTATCGCTTTGAGGTCTCTTTTTGGGATGCAATTCCTTTCTTATACCCATTTGTTTTAGATCAAGTTGTGTTTCATAGTTATCTTTTGACTTTTTTCCTTGACCTAAAAAAGTCCCCACAATGTTCTCAGATACATTTTTTCAATGTGCATCAGGTCAAAATTGTGACGCAACAACAAGTGCTCCCAGTATGGCAACATAAAAAAATACTTTTCTTTTTCCATGGACCACCATCAACTTTTTCAACAAGAAATTTTGTACCATCTAACTGTTGGAGAACCTCCTCTCCGGAAGAAGGTTTTGGGGCAACTCGTAATTCCTCTCTTCCAACAAAGGATTTAGTGTCTCTACGCCAATGATGGTTAGTTGGAAGCCATCTCCTATGACACATGTAATAATACTTTTTCCATGGGTTAGCCATTTAGAATCAGTATCAAAACCACATAATGGACATGCAAGTGCTCCTTTGGTGCTCCACGCAGATAAATTGGCATAACCGGGAAAGTCGGATATAGTAGAGAGAATTGATGCCTTTAATTGAAAGTTTTGTTTAGTTGAGGCATCAAATGTGTCAACTCCAACATCCCACAACTCCTTCAATTCTTTTATCAAAGGCTGCATATACACATCTATCTTGTTTCCGGGATCTCTTGGACCAAGAATAATTAAGGAGAGAATGAAATTAGGTTGTTTCATAACCAACCATGGTGGCAAGTTGCAGGGAATAAGAAAAACATGCCAAATACTATGCGATACGTTCATTGTCCTGAATGGGTTAAAACCATCACTTGCTACTGTTAAACGAACATTGCGGGGATCACTAGCAAATTCAGGAAATTTTTTTATCAAAATCTTTCCAGGCTAGTGCATCAGCCGGATGCCGAATCTTTCCATCTTCCACACGTTCCACATGGTGCCACTTCATCAGGCTAGCTGTCTTCGATGACATGAACAATCTCTGAGGTCTAGGCTTCAAAGGAAACCACCATAATATTTTTGATGCCTTCTTCTTAGGTGGAATTTTCCATTTTCTGAATTATCTTGAGACACTTTCCATCTCGATGATCCACAAATAGAACAACATTCATCTTTCTCCTTCTCTTCCCAAAACAACATGCAGCCGTTAGGACATGAATGGATTTTTTCATATCCTAATCCCAATTTAGCCATTATTTTTTTCGCTTGTGGGGTGGTCTTAGGTAACAAATTTCCTTCAGGTAACAAATCTTTTAAAAACTCCAACAACATAGAGAACGATTTGTTACTCCATCCATTAAGACACTTTAGATGGTACAGATGCACTATACTAGATAACTTGTTGTATTTGTAATTCAGATATAACTTCTCTTCAACTTCCTTAACTATATTATCAAATATTCTTCCTCCATTTTCCGCCTCTTGACCACTATTCAAGGTAGCCTCGTGTGTCTCTACTCCAGTTCCGTCGATTTCAGGTTGAAATACATCATTCAACATTTCATACATGTCATGGTAAAATAGATCTTCCTCTGCATTATGTACTATACCAGACGATGTAGCTGTTGAGCCTTCCCCATGATACACCCATACCAAGTATTCTGAACGAAACCCCAAACATATGAGGTGATCCAAAATATCTCCTCTTCCACGATAATACATATTCAGACAACGTTCACAAGGGCATAATATCTTTCCTTTAACATTTGATCTCTCAAATGCAAAATTCAAGAAAAATTGAATCCCATTTATAAAAGGTTCACTACATCTTGGTGCAGAATACATCCAAGATCTGTCCATAACTGCTCCAATGAAAATAAACAAGTTACATAGTTGCAACATGTGAAAGTTTGAAGCCTAATCAACTCTTAATGGAATCATATAAACACAGGAGGAAGCTAACAACCTCGCTTAAGAGGTCAACCAACTGCTGTAGTACAATACATCTCACTTAAAAAACTATATCATCAATGAAAATTAATATTCATTTGGAAATATAAACATATATTAGAAAAATAACAAACTAGATGAGTGGTTTTCATACATGATATGACAAAAACAATAACTATTACAAAAAATGAAACTATATGTCATTTTATTTGTAGTAATGGAATCATATAAACACAGGAAGAAGCTAAGAAACTAACAAATGAGAAACTGAAAACAGAAGTTGAAAAGTGTTTAGCACAAAGTGAGAAGTTTCAGAATGAGAAAGCAGAGTTTGAAGCCACAATTTATTCTACTGTATTAACTATTAACGCATTAAAGGCAATGTACTTATGTTTTTTTACCCAAAACTACGTCGTTTTTGAGTAATCATCATCTATTTTGTTTTATTTCCTGTATTTACCCCTGCCAAGTTTTTAATCTATTTTTGTTAAAATGTAGGTAGAAAGTGTGATGGTAAAACATCTTGGGATTTCTGGAATTGCTGTGATTGGAATTCCAGATTCCTGTTTGACTGAAAAGCTGGTTGCTTGATTCAAATTAAACCAAAACTGGCTTAAGTGATGATTAAGTGAGTAAGACTCAACCCCTTCATTTTGGTCACACACAACACCATTTTCATGTTTCTTGTCTTTTTGTGTTTATATACATTTCTATGATATGGGTTACTGGCTTATTATTATTATTTGTAATTCAGTTTGTTGAATTTGTTAATTTGATTTAAAAAATTATTTTAGTCATTTCACCACATTACTGAAAGTTTTTGGATATGGTTATTGTTGTTCTCACAATGACATTGTAGAGGTTATAGGGTAAAAAGTGTATTTTCACTATAATATAGTCTTGTATAAAAAATAATATTTTTTAAAATTAGACCACGTATACCATTTTGTTCATTAATGTGCTGGAAGGGAAAAATTGTATTTTTCAAAAGTTTGACGGCCCTTTTGTTAGGGTTGTTAAGTGCATGGACTTAATTGTTATCAAACTATCCATTAAGGACCACCAGTGTTAAAATCTCAATAAAGAAGACCATAAGTTTTAAAAATAGACAACTACAAGGAACAAGACTGTAATTTACTCTAAAAATAATGTTAAAAAACGATGAATTACTTTTTAATATCATTATTGGAAGAAAAAAAAGGCTGAGTTGGAAATGGTTATAATGTTTAATTCGTAATAAAAAAAAAGATTCAAAATATCTAGACAGAAGTACAAGTCAAAAGTATTTCCAAAAGAAAGTAGATTCTAGTCAAACAGAGTTGTAACATAACAACCCCAATTAATCAAACTAGTTAATTTGTATCAACCCCTATCACTGTTCAAGAAACCTTATTTATTTGTAATCATGTGACCTAAACTTAAAATATACTAGATTGGTACTTTTTTATGCAGTTTTTCTTAAAAATTAAAAATATAAACATGATTCAGTTTTATTATGCATTTATCAATACTATAATAAAATACATCAACTTTTTTATAAAAAAAAAAGAAAAAGGAAAAAAAAGAAGAAGAAGAGTTTGATCTCAACAAACTCTTCTATATATTTCAGTTTTTGTAATTGTAGTCAATAAAGATATTTAAATTTTCATTTAAATATCATGTGTAATTGTTTATTAACAAAGTAGGATGCTATTATAACAAACAAATCAGAGAATGTTCAATGCTATTTCTACTTCTAACAAAGTAGGATGCTATTATAACAAACAAATCAGAGAAGGCCAGGGATTGCTAAAGCCATGGAAGAATTCAAGATATGTGTGTATGGAGAGAAGTATGATGAAGAAGAGGAAAAGGCAGGTAATGCTAAGGGAGCAAATAAAAGGAAAACTGAAGAGGAAGCAGTTAGCAAGGCTGCGTATTATGACTGGTCTAAACTGGCAGATGATGGAAAGGTAAAATTTTAAAGTTTTCTGCTCTTCCTTTTATGTTTTTTGAGAAGTAATATTTTTAATAACATTTTATGTGTTGAGTGTAGTTGAAGGATTTGACTGTACAGGAGCTGAAGAGCTACCTAACAGCTAACAAGCTGACTGTTGCTGGAAAAAAGGAAGTTTTGATTACTAGGATCTTGACACACTGGATGGGTCTGGATAATCTTTATGTGACTATTTATGATGACGGGGATGAAGACATTTGTCTTTTCAGATATATTCGCAGAAAAGTATAAGCCAAACATTAGATTATTTTGATAAAGTCAAAATCAATAGTTATTTTAAAAAGAGAAAGTGATAAATTTGAGGCTTGTATTAATTAATAGACTTTTCACTGTAGCAACAAACTTTATTTACTATCTAGTGATGGAAATGCCCCTATTAATGTTGAATTAACATGGTACAGGTCAACACACAAATTGACCACATGGATACTAAATCTTCAGGTATAAATTCATTTCCTAGTTGAACATTGTTGAAAGAAGACATAATAATGAAAACTTTGAAACTTATGTCACAGGAAACTATGATGCTACAACCCGAGTCACAAGTGGAAATCTGGTATGTATCCTTGGATGATAGCTTAGTTTAATGTAAGTAAATATTTAATCCAAGTACTCTTGTATTTTTAGGATGATGCGTACAATAATACAATGACAAAGGTTGATGCTGCCAAAGCTAAATTTGACAAGTTGACACAAATGAGATCTGAACTTGCCTCAGAACATTACAAGGTTTATGCAAAAATCTAACCTTTTCATGTTAACAGAATTAAAAATAAATATCCTTTTGATGTGAGTTAATAGTTAATCTCAAAGTTCTGGTTTGTTCATAAATCTTTTTATTTTACAGGTGAAGGAATCATTGGAGAAACTGAAGGGTAGAGTTGAAAATTTTAAGGTCAGTTTTCATAACATATATTTTAGTTCTTTTCTGTCACATTTGTTTGTCTTTGCTTACTACTTGGCCCTAACTCCACATTAAATCTGCACTGATGATTTTCTTGTTGAATTGCACTCTATGTTATCGACTATTGTCTTAGTTTATAAGGAAAATCACAAGAAATAGCAATGTACTTTATCTATTACTCATTATAGCAATGTAGTTATTATAGCTTATTAGTAGTAAAAAAATGTAAGTATGTTACTATTAGGGTTAAAATATAAAGTGCATTTTACAAGTATCAAGTCATATATTGCTATTATGGTTAAATACTTGTAAGTATAATATGTTGCTATTTTGGTGGGTTGCTACCGAAACTAAGGGATATGCCTAGTGAGACCCTGGAAGAGGAGCTTCAAGCTCTTATTTCTGACAAGTCTAGAGAAACTCAGTATCATGAATCTATGTAAAACCAAATCGACACTATTAAGGTAACGTAACCTAAATATGATGTCGAATTATTAGATTCCTAACAAAGAAAGTCAAGGAAATGAGACTTTCATCATTAAGTCATTAATTTTACTATATTAACAAACACATTGATTTAATGAACATAATGAGTCTAATGAAGCAATATAGGTAATTACATTTCCTATAAATTTATAAGCTTATTGTAGTGTGAAGATATGGTAAAAGTAAATAATGCAGAACAATTGGATCATGAACATCTTTTGAATAAACAAAAAGAGAATGAAGAATTTGCTTAAGAAAAGAAACAAGAAAATCAGCTCTAAAGGAAGGACGATGCTGCTAACAGGAAACAAATAGTTGATCAACAATGGAGTCAAATAATGTCTAAAGATGTTGTCAATTAGTCATATGCCTCTTTTCATAATATTTATATTTAATTGCTTATGCACATTGATTTGAATTGCTTATGTGAACCTAAAACTAAAGATGTTCATCCTTCCGATCTATGAGTGGCTGTTAGTGATAGTAATAAATTCTCTTATTTACTCATATTTCTAACATATGTAGAATTGTAAAATTTATTTAATTTTTAAACTGTAACAATTGTTGGTGTGTTTTTAATGGACCAGGGACCTTTCACATAACAAGTCATAATCATTATTAGATGATCTAATGGTGTCACCAGATTGTGACAAAGAAATGAAGATGGAATTTGTAAATACGCTTATTTGAGAAAGTCAAAATGCAATCACCAGTTCTAATAATCAAAAACTATTGGACTTTTAAAGGTACTAGTGGCAGCCTCTCATAAAATTGATAAACCCTAGCAGTTTGGGCAATGATTTTGCAACAAATCGAGCAGTATACAACTTCAAATTTACCAACAAATGAAATTTGTAAATACGCTTATTTGAGCAGCAAAAATACCTAACAGTGAGATTGAGGATGCAGCGGCGACGATCAAGGAAGTGGCGCCTATCGAGGAAGCGATAGCGATCGAGGAAGTTTTGGCGATAGAGGAAGCGGCGGCGATTGAGGATGCAGCGGCGACGATCGAGGAAGTGGCGGCTATCTAGGAAGCGGCAACGATCGGAAGCAACGACGATCGCGGAAGCAGCAACCCACATGCCGACGACAGCGTCCGGCGTCGACGAATAGAGGGTGGTGATAGTGCGTTCAGATCATCGTCAGGAGTGGGAGAGTGAGATTTGGTTGTTGTACGTATCATTTTTTAATTTTAAGTGTCGCTTTCGTTTTATTTACTAGTTTTTAATTTTATCACGGGATTTTAATTTATCACCACCCTCTATTGAACAATAGACGAGAGTTATTGAACAATAGACGAGAAATCGAGAGTTATTGAATAATAGACGAGAAATCGAGAAAAGAAAGTGGTGGTGTGGTTGAGATTGGATGTATAAGTGGGTCTACGCTTGAGTCATCCGTTAGGGTGATGGGTACGGGCAACGGGGTGGTGAGGCCACCTAAGCACCAAAAGTTTTCTTAATCTCTATTTTTTTGTTGGGGTGGTGTTCAATTTCCTCAACGCCGTTGAGGTGAATAAATGCAGAAAAAGAGAAAGCCTAATTGCTGGAACGGTTCTTTTTTTCCCGTTTCAATTCGTTTCCGTGGCCACGAGATTCAACCGACGAGATGCAACGAGCTAGGGGGGGCGGTGTTCCCCTCTTTAAGACGGCGTTGAGCCGTGCCACCTAACCCTCGTTTCTTCTCGTTGAGGCCCATACCGGGTGCTCTTAAGTTCGGATTCACTGATTTTTTTCTTTTGATATTTTAATTAAATAAAAAATCTATGTAAAATTGAATAGATGGATTTGCTAAAAACGTTACATGGGTAATCGATGGTTATAATTGATAATTTTCCTTTTATTCTTAAATATAATTAGTCAACATGCAATTATTATGTTAGAATCCTTTTTTTAAACAAGAAAATAGAGAAATTAATGGAAACATTATAAATTAATCCCCAAGTAAAAATCAGTTTTCGTTTTCAAAATTAATACAACAAAATCAAATGTTAAAAGTATTAACATAATAAATTTCCATAAATATGTAATAACAGATTTAAATGATAAATATAAAATAAATTTTTAATATTATAATTAAATTTTTTAGTTATTATAAGAATTATTTATACGGTATTTTTAATAAAAAAAAAAGTTTTAGTTGTATATCAAGTCATTATGGCACTAATAACTATGAAATTTAGTGACACAAAAGATTAAGTGCCATTAAATGTATTAATTTTTTAGTGGCATATAATAAGTGCTACTAAAAACCATGACATAGTGGCATATTAACCATATGACACTAAAAATGTGTGCCACTATATGTCATTTTATTTGTAGTGGTGGGATATACATCTGATCTTAGCTTGTCAGTTCAACATTCGAGAGGTGAGTCTTCTCACCATACCAATGGGTCTAAGGCACCAAGGCCGAACCATTTTATGATATGTGGATTGTCGACTGACTATGCGTTATGTTAGTATGACATTTGTATGGAAGACCTCGGGGGGTTCCGGTGGCATTTGGTTTAAGACATTGGAGGGTTTCCGTGGCATCCTAGTATATAATTGCATGTTTAGTTTGCATTGTATTTGCTTGGTAGAGAAGACCATGTGGGGGTTCCCATGGCAGGAATACCATGTGGGGGTTCCCATGGCAGGTAGTTAAGACCACGTGGGGGTTCCAGTGGCACTGGGTGTAAGACCCTGGAGGGTTTCCATGGCTTCCTTATATGTTGTATGCATGGTTTATGTGATATATGTAGCTTTATAGCTAATTTGATATGTGTTATGTGGATTGTGTGTGGGTTACGCTCTGGGGGACTCACTAAGCATAAGCTTACAGTTTGTAGAATTGTTTCAGGTACATCTGAGCCCAAGGGCAAGGGAAAGGCTTGATGGTGCGGCGTGTACTCTCTCTCAGGCGTTATTATGGGACACTTTGATGTTTTGAAATAAAATTGTTGTTGTGATGAATTTGAAAACAATTTTATATGGGATTTCAGGATTTGTGGAAAGTATTTTGGTTAATTAAAAATGAAAAATTTCTTTTTAAAATTTGGGTTGTTACAAGTTGGTATCAGAGCCTTGGTCTGAGGGATTCCTGCACACTCTCGGGTGTGTCAGGACTCAAACTAAGGAAATGGCGAAATTGTTTTCAAAAATTAAATAAAAGTTAAAACTTTTTAAAGAATGGAAAAGATGAGAGTGCAACGCGCGTGATCGACTGAGCCAAGTAAGTAGTTCCCTAATATGATTAGTCATGTTATATACTTATATTTGAGCTATGATAATTTTATAGATCTTGCTATGTGTATGCTTTTAAAATTGTATACGGTTAGGAGCTTATAGCCTTAGAATGATTGATTTGGCCTTATTTCTTGTTCCTTGTTTGGTTGTGGTCCTAGGGTAGAATATCTTATTCGAAAGTCTATTTGATCCTTTTCTATGTATAATTTGCATGCATAAAGGCAACCTGTTATGATTGGTCTGATTGATGTGAGTAGAGCAAATCATAGGATAGCTTGGGATTTGAGATATGTGATAGTCTGTGGGATATGATTTATTTTTATGACGGATTAGAGTTAGCGGGTAGAGCCTTGGGGAAGGTACAGGTAGGTGTTGAAGGTAGTATTGGGCCTGTACTACTGATAGAACATGACTGTACCCGAACCAATGTTAGATCTGAAAGCTCTGAGGAGGACCAGTGTAGGAAGATCCCATATATGGATATCTTGATCATTATGATTTATAACATTTCAGTTCAGCATGGTGATTACGCGATTAGGAGCAGGTGGATCAGGATCCGGATCCGGATCTAGATCGGGCAACGGTACTGAGCCCGTTGATGAGAGGTTGCGCGAGCCATTGCAGCCGAGGTGACGATGGGCATCCGTGACACTACCCCAGTTATCTTTGGGATGGTCAAGGAGGGTATGATGGAGATTATGGAGGAGAGACTCAGGTCATTCAGAGCCGAGATTGTTGTGGGCCAGGTCGGGGCCCGAACACCCTCATTCCAGGAGTTCAAGGCATGCGGAATGCCAGAGTTTTTCATGTATGATATGAGATAGAACCCGAGACTGGTGGAGAGAGGTGACTAGCCAGGTAGGAGCAGCCGGTGTGGCTGAGATGACATGGGTCGAGTTTGTTCAGCGATTTGATGTGGAGTTTGCACCATCGATTGAGGTGCAACGGCTTGTGAGGGAGTTTCATGACCTTTAGCAGACTACCGTGACTGTGGCGGAGATCACCGCCAAGTTTCGGGAATGAGCTTTGTTGATCCCACAGTATGCTACAGATAAGGATATGAGGCGGAAGAGGTATCATTCCATGTTGAGGGACGATATCCGGGAGTTTGTGAGCTTTACAGGGTGTAAAACCCTGAATGAGATGGTGGAGAAGTCCCATGAGCGGGAGATGGAGTTGGACTTCCGGACAAAGCGGAAGCCTGAGCAGGCACAGACGGCAGTAGGTCAGGCTAAAAAGTGTAAGACTTCGGATTCATCTAGTAAGGGCCAGCAGGGCCGTGTCCGGTGAGCCAAGTGTGGGATATCTCATCGGGGAGCTTGCCGGGGGACGGGCCCAGTATGCTATACGTGTCGTCAGCTGGGCCACGTGAGTAGGGATTGCCCCAAGAAGGGCTTGATTTGTTTCCACTGCAACCAGAATGACCATAAAAAAGCGGATTGTCCATGGTTGTAGGGAGGGGGATGAGGGGTGGTGGTGCATGCGCCTGGCACACTGAGGATCATAGATGGCCTCCCTGCTAAGGCAGATGCTCCAGCAGTGAATAGTCGCGTATTTCAGTTGACTACCGAGGAGGCTCGGGCAAAGTCAGGCGTGTAACGCCCGGTTCCTGGTACGTATTTAAATAAGAATTTTTCATATTTGCTAAGGGACTCGACGAGTTGGAGGCTCCAAACTCGTCGAGTAGGAATTTGGATATGTTGGACGCGGGACTTGAAGTCTACTCGATGAGTCGAGGAGCCTCGACTCGACGAGTAGGTCTGCCAGAGTGAAACTCTAATTTTTAGGGTTTGCACCCTACTTAAACACCTTGACACCCCCATTGTGGCCTCCCTCATCACCTCCCTTAGTCCAGCAAACCCTAATTCGAAACCCTAGCCCATTTTGAGTGTTCTTGAGCCATTTTTGTGTGTTTTGGTGGTTTTGAAGCTTGAAAAGGAAGAAGAAGCTTGGGAGCTCAAGAGGAAGCAAGTTGATCCAGAGGTTGTGTTCCATTTCCAGCTCATTTGAGGAATAAAGTTGTAACATCCGGATTCCCAGGTATCTTATTTTAAGTATTTATATTGAATTTTAGAGAGAGACTCGGCGAGTAGGCGCTCAGACTCGCCGAGTGGGATCGCGCATTTCTGGTCTGATTTAATGAAGGACTCGACGAGTCGATGCGTGGACTCGGCGAGTCCGCGCTGTTAAGTGAAACCATAATTCTCGGGGCCTGTGCCCTATTTAAAGGCCTTTATAACCTCCATCGCGGCCACTTCACCCCTGAGAAACCCTAGAGAGAGAGAGAGAACGTTTGTGGTGCAAGAGGAAGGCTAATTCACCATTTCTTGTGTGTTTTAGCAAAAGAGAAGTAGTTTCCAATAAGAGGATGTCAAGGGAGCTGTGGATCCAGGGTTTTCAAGTTCAGATCTACACTATTGAGGTATCAAATCGAACTTCCCTTCTGTTTTGGGTTAAGATCTATGATTTAGGGTTTTCTATAAACCTTTTAAGGCTTGAAAGGTTGAGGTTATGGTCCCTTGCTGGGTTAGACCTCAGATCTGGACCTATAGAGGTCCAGAGAACCTTTCCCATTCTGCTTTATGCTTGTTCATGGAGGATTGGAGACTAGGTTGCCATTTTTAGAGTTATTTCTCCATTTATGACTTGATGTGGGTTGCATGCACGTAAAGGTTGCACCTTTACGTGACCTTTGAGCACTTGAAGGCCAGATCTATAGTTTAGAGAAGCATATCTGACCTCAGAAGGTCATTTGAGAGTTGTTATGGGAGCAACTCACCGAGTCCATAAGTGGACTCGACGAGTCGAGTCGGGGTTGCCCCGCGATTCGTGACAGGTGTGACCCGTCGAGTGGAAGGATGACACGACGAGCCAAGAGAGGCTGAAAGGATTCAGAGGACCCGCATGGACTCGTCGAGTCGCCCTTGTGCACTCGACGAGTCGGGTCAAAGTTTGACCGTTGACTTTA